TTTTTTTTAATTTAATAAGGCAAAACTATGCTTATATCCGTCTCCTGTTGTTACTAATTTCCACCTATGTATCTGTGATGTCGTTATCTTTAAGAGAATTTCCCCTCCCCCTCCCCCTTGTTTCGTATAGAAATTTTACAACGACTTCCTTTCGATTCGTCATCAACGTCGCACAAATTACAAACTCGGAAAGGATTAGAAAACGCTGATTTAAGAAATTGAATGGCAGGCTCGCCAGATCCACATAATTTATGCCCGAGATAACTCACATCGTCTTTATCTAATTAACTCGCTATTAATGAAACATAGCCGTGATTTTTGCCGGATGCGAGTTACTTTAGTACGTGCGACAGTGTCCGACACACCTGATGCATATGCATGCACCAAACGTAAAACGTGCTGGCAGCGTAGAGTTCTTTCTCAACCTTGGTACGAATGGTATCCCGCGTACGTGTTGAGCCTGTTGTTAAGAGCTGTGGAATCATACGAATCCTGCCAATGCAACGGGTCAACCGTACGATGCGCTCCGAGCGTTTGTTTAACGATATAACGTTTAAGATTCGTTAATGTTATTTACGATTCGGGACGAGTTCGTTAATAAATCACCCGGCACTTTAAGCATACGGAACAACAGTAACGCGCGACTGCTCTCTTTGTTCGTGACAGTTGCCCGCTGTGTTATAATTAATTTTCTTTTTGCGTATGTGCGTACGATTCGTGTCGCTGAGTTTTCAAAACCGAAATCTGTTGCGTCGTTACGTGAAACGTCAACGTGAATCCGTCTTAAATAACGTGCAACGCGTTAAAACGAATTGTCGAATGAAATATCGAAAGGTTTTCCCAGGTGTTTAGACAAAATTGCTTTGAGACATTAGCGTTCTTTTCCTCAAATCTACAGGTTCTGCAAGACAAGTTGCAGAAACTGTAAATAAAGAAAATTCCAAGGATTTGCTTGACATCCTTTTGTCATTATCTTTTACCACATTTATGAGATTTAAAGTGATCACTGCAATAAATTATTATTTTCTTTTTTAAAGAGTATCTCATTCGACGTTCATTCGTACATATAATCTAGTTAATTTCCAATCTTGCTCTTTAAAGCACTTCACTTATTTGAAGATCTTATCTGCAAGATGTAAGCGCTCGCAGAAGCGCAGGAAATAAAGTAAAAGATGCGCGAAGGAAGCACCGCGCAGTACAGCGCACAAGAACGTTCTGTGCG